GGTCTGTCCTGTGTTCTGACTAAAAAGTTGATCTACCAAGGACAAATGACCGACGTCAAACAGTGCATGCCAGAAGGGATGGAGATAGAAGTGGAAACAGTGGATCTTGACGGGGAAGGTGCTATGGCTCCCATGAAGAAGAAACGTTTTTTGTTTAATGGATTATTTAAGGTAGGGGGGATTTAATTGTAATAATTGGGTAACCATAGAATCATATATCACAAGCGAGACTGTTCCGTCTAAGGATTGTAAACTGTTTAAAAAAAAAAAACAAGGGAAGGTCAAGAAATACACTGAACGAGCGTCAAGCACATGAAAGGCAGGAGCATAAGTCGTGAATTGCTAAAGTTTCAGTTGCGTTTAATTGATTGATAATATCAAGGGATGTTAAACCCACTATATGCACCAAGTAATAACAACATTTTTCTTTCATGTTTAAAGCTTAGTGTTGCACGAATGTTACTATTGCCAAAAGGTCTGGAGATATGTCACGAATTTATGTCACAAGTTTATGAAAAGATATGATATTTTTTAAGAACATATTTCGGCAGTTCTTCTGTCATCTTCAGTTCAATTTAGACAACTTTGTGCTTTGCATGTTTTTAAAAATGTCGTATATTTTCTAACATGTTACTATTATTTTGCAAAACAGAGATGTAAAACTCAAACTGACTGAAGAGAAGACCAGTGTTGCTTATTGAACAAGAGATGCTCTCCAAAACTTCCGAAGTACTTTACATGTTATTTAACGTTAGTTGAAGAATGAAGGTTTACATTATTTCTTGTAGTCCAGTCGTAATAAAGGCAATAACAACGGTGGGGTATCATTAACAATCTTGTTATCGCTATCCTTATTTTTGCTGTTATCCTTTTGATCGTAATTATCATTATTAGCATCCCATTATCATTAGCATTATTGGATTTATTGTTATCGTTATTATTATTAATATCATTATGAGCAGTGTTAATAGCCTCATCATTATTCCTATCGGTTTTGTTCTTATTATCATTATTATTATCATCAGACTGATAATTATAAGCAGTGCCAGCATCATTATCAAAATTATCTACATCATCATCACTGTTGTCATAACCATAATGAAAATGAAAAAAA